GGAGTTCCACAAGTTGACTATGCGCTGCGTGAAGAAGAACTTCCTTTTATTTGTTTTAAACCTGCTGCTTATTAATTTCATTTGATGACCCCTAGTTCTTGTATTATGGGAATAAGTAAATAACTGAGGGTGAGGGAACTAGACTTGTTTAGTCTGCAGAAGAGAAGAATGAAGGAGGATTTGATAGCAGCCTTCAACTACCTGAACGGGGTTCCAAAGAGGATAGAGTTAGGCTGTTCTCAGTGGTGGCAGATGACAGAACAAGGAGCAATGGTCTCAAGTTGCAGTGGGGGAGGTCTAGGTTGGATATTAGGAAGCACTGGAATGGGTTACCAAGGAGGTTGCGGAATCTCCATCCTTAGGCCCAGCTTGACAAAGCCCTGGCTGGGATGATTTAGTTGGGGATTGGTCCTGCTTTGAGCAGGGGGTTTGACTAGATGACCTCATGAGGTATCTTCTAACCCTAATCTTCTATGAGTCTATGATTTATTTCTAAATAGCCAGGAGAAATTAAATCACTGCAGGAGAAGTTTAATTTTAAAATGACATGGAGTTTAGCCATTCCAAGTAGGAGTCTTCTAAATATACTGGGTGAAATCCTGGCTCCATTGAAGTCAATGGAAAACTCCCAGACCTGGACCCACAAAGGTAAATAGGAATCTAATTCCCAATTATAGGTGCCACTGCGATCCAAACTGGAACAGCTTCAACAGGAGAGACTGAGTGAGCCCCTCATAAGAACAGCCATACTAGGTCAGACCAAAGGTCCATCTAGCCCAGTATCCTGTCTTCCGACAGTGGCCCATGCCAGGTACTCCAGAGGGAATGAAGATAACAGGCAATCATCAAGTGATCCATCCCCTGTCCCCCATTCCCAGCTTCTGGCAAACAGTGGCTAGGGACACCACCCTTGACCATCCTGGCTAATAGCTATTGATAGACCTATCCTCCATGAATTTATCTAGTTGTTTTTTTGAACCCTGTTATAGTCTTGGTCTTCACAACATCCTCTGGCAAAGAGTTCCACAGGTTTACTTAAGACTTTCCTCATTAGACTTTCCTGTAGCCCAGTGGTTAGAGCCCTCTCCTGAGAGGTAGTATTAGAACAGGGATCTCCTTTCTCATCATCAGGCAGGGAGGGGGGGAATTGAACGTGGATCTCTCACATCCCAGGTGAGTGCTCCAACCACTGAGCTACAGGTTATGAAGTGGGTGACTCCTCCTCCTCCAACTGTTTTGTGTGGAGTGAGGCAGGCTTATAGCTCATTCCCCCAAGAAACAGCCTGGGTGTCCTACCACCTGACTCCAGGAGATGGGTTCCTGGCTGGGGGTCGCTGGCAGAGATAGGTGCCTCCCTGCAGCCTGGAGTTAGGTGCCTAAATCCCTGAGGGGGCAGGACTTAGGACACCTCCGTCAGCACTTCCCATTGGCTAGCTTAGGCAGCTTCTTCCCCGGCATGCTGGAGTTTGTGGATCTCAGTCTAAGGTGTCTGTCGCTCCCCAGTCATTGTACAGGGAGCCTAGCCCCTAACTCAGGCTTGCTTTGCACACTGGGATCTGAGGCATGGAGAGGTGATGGGCCCAGTTCTGCCCTCACTGACACCACTGGGAGTTTATCCAGGGGGGTTAAGGGCAGCAGGCCCTGTGTGAGCTGCCCAAGATCCACATGAGGAGTTTGTTTGCCCAGGGTTGGTTCAGACATAGCTGCAACTGGTGGAACCAGGTTAAAAGCCAGTGTGATGCTGGTGCTCCAGTGTCGTGTGCTGGAGCCCAAGGTGTTTTCTGTGGGGTTCCCAGTGCGGAGGAAGGTCCCAGCCACACACCTTGGCACAAACACAATCCCTCCCTCCTAGGGGGTCAAGTTAACCCCTGGAACAAACACCACATGTGCCAAGAGCACAACACTTTTCTCTAATCCAGACAGGGCCGCCCAGAGGATTCAGGGGGCCTGGGGTCTTCGGCGGCAGGGGGCCGCTGCCGCCGAATTGCCGCCAAAGACCCAGAGCAGCTCCGGGTCTTCTGCAGAGGATCCTTCACTCGCTCCAGGGGCCCGGGCCCCACGAGAGTTTTCTGGGGCCCCCGGAGCAAGTGAAGGACCTCGCTCCAGGAGCCCCAGAAAACTCTCGTGGGGGCCCCTGCAGGGCCCGGGGCCTGGGGCAGTCCCCAGAGCTCTGACTCACTGCAGCAGAATTCCTCAGGCATCGTTTCCCCACAGGTGAAACTCCACAAAGACATTGAGCTTCTGAAGAAAGCAGTAGAGGAGATTTCAAAGTTGGAATCCAAGGAACAAAATAAACCCAATGACTGGAAGGTAAGTGTCTAGGGTTTGGTTTAATCTCTCATTTCATTTAGGTGTTTTAAAGAACTTACAAGAGAATCTCGATAAAAATAGACAACACGAGTGTAGCATTAAAAAAAACAAATTCTGTTCATTATTATTATCGGACTTTAATTCCAGAAAATGTTGACCCTGAGGCATATGGAGGGGAACAGAAGTGTAAAATTAACAAATCTTCATGACACTTAACAATAATGGGCTGATTTACACTGACTCAAAATGCAAATGAGGCACAGATAAATCCATGTTTTATTTATCTGTATTTCTATCACAGAAGCCCCTTCTGGATCAAGCCCAGTCATTCTAGCAACAACTAGGAAGGCACAGGGCCAGACTCTTTCCTATCTCACATCTTGTGTCAGCATTTGCACCAGGGCCAAGTCTGTGTAAAACGCTGCCATTCTAATTTAGTCGAATGCACACTGCCTGTGCTCACTGAGACAGCTCTGCTCTCACTCATACCAGTGTTTACACTACTATAGCCCCATTAGCATGGATAGGGTTACTCCTGATTTACACTGGGTCAGTGAGAGGGGAATCAGCCCTAGTGAGTCTAATGGAGTTACACATGTTTAGGGGAAGGCTTTCTGCACCATACTTAAAATGGAAACACCATTTCAGTTTAAAGCTGCCATTCAAAGTGCTCTAAAAGCCACAGGCATGCTCAGATTGTTTTGAAAATTACTGATTGTTGAGGGGCCACAGCAGAATACATGGGGCAAATTTATGGGCATTTGATCAAGGGGTTCTGGAGAGTGCATCCCCCACCCCCATAGGATGATCTGGTTTTTAGATGCTAATTCATTCCTTTTATGGACATTTTGCATTTCCTGATGAATATCTAGTATAATGAAAGGATGGGTGATGGGGGTTGCTTTTTCCCAAATATGAGTTTTGTGTTGGTTGTCTCAAGTCCAGTCCCCCTGCTTCACTGATTATTTAATTATTTACTCAGAAGTTATGGGCTTGATGCAGGAACCCCTGGGTGTAATTTTCTGGCCTGTGCTATGCAGGGGGTCAGACTAGATGATCACAATTGTCCCTTCTGGTCTTAAAATATGAATCTATGAACATTCATTCAAGTCTAATGTACTTCACCAAAAATGGACTTACATACTTGATAATTCTGCTGATATTTATGGGTTTGTTTGTTCATTTTTACTCACTAAAGGAAAGAGTAAAGTGCCAGAGACAGCGAATCTTGTCTGAATTTGAGAAACTGCAGCTGCTTCTGAATGAGGAAAAGGAACTCTTTCTCCAGAGACTGTCAGAGGAAGAGAGGGAGACTTTGAAGAAACTAAATGAGAATGTAACCAAACTCTCCCAGCAAAGCTCCTCTCTTCAGCAGCTGATCTCAGAGATCCAGGAGAAGTGTCTGCAACCGGCCATGGAGCTGCTGAAGGTGAGTTATACAAAGTTCCCCTTTAGTTTTGATTTTCCACAGCCATGGAAACAAACACAGACTGTCCCCCCCCCCCATATTATAATTATTTACTGATTTACTATTTATTATGTAGTGCCACAGATTTACACAGTATTACACACCATTATTAGCAATAGTTAGGCCAAAATGTTCAAATTTGGCTCCCTAAAGTTAGGGACCTAAGAGTAGAATCATAGACGCTGACTTCCAGATTTCCCAGGGGGTGCTAGACCACCTGTTCCATCCTCTGCCCTGATCCCACTCCACCCTGTCCCCCAATGCCCCACCTCTTCCCGCCCTTGCTCTGCCCCTCCCCCAAGGGTGCCCCATATTCAACTGGTGCCTCCCCATAGTGGGGGGCCATGAGCAAAAGGGAAGGTCACGTGTGTCCCTCCCATGCGCCCAGCCCCGAGGCAACTGGCGCTCTCCCCACCCCATTTTACCTGCGAAGGGGGGTACTTTGTCATCCTGCTGTGCCTGCCCCCCCGGCACATTCTGCTGCTCTCCCTGGTAGGCAGGAGCCCAAGCGGGGAGTAGGAGGGAGCCACTTTTAACACTGGCCCCTCCCAGTCGCTGCTTTGCAGCCCTGCCTGGCAGCTGCCTGAGAGAGCCTGGCTGGGAAGGAGGAGGCTTCTGCTCCATGCCCGACTCGGCTGCCGGGGACCCCAGCCCCCAAGCCCAGGCAGGGGGCAGGAGTCACCTGCCCAGCCAGGCTTTCTCAGGCAGCCGCCACACAGGGCTGCAGAGCAGCATCTCAGTGGCTGGAAGGGGCTGGTCCCGCCCCTTCCACTCCCCACATCTGGGCCATGCATCGCCTAGGCCCGCCCTGCCTCTTCCCACCCCCCGCTCCTCCCCCTCCCCACAGCGCCTCCAGAACACTGCCAAGCAGCTGATGTTAGGAGGCACTGGGGAGGACAGGGACAAGCTGATCGGTGGGGCCTGGCACTGCGGGGGGGAAAAGGAGGGGCCTGCTCAGCATCCACTATTTTTTTCCATGGGTGTTCCAGCCCCAGAGTACCCACAGAGTCGGCGCCTATGGGTAGAATGATCAAAAGCACCTAAGTGACTTAGGAGCCCACATCTCATTTTGAAGAATGACTTAGGGCCAGATTTTCATAAGTATGCCTAGCAATGCAGACCGGCACCTTGTGAGGTTTTCAAAGGCATCAAACAGGTTAGGCACCCAGCTCCCATTGACTGGTTTTACTGTTCCTATCAGGGTAGCACCTGCCATGTGCTGGATGCTTTTCAGTATCCAGAAAGATGCATCCCTGCCCCTAAAACAAGGGTAGTCAATAGGTGGACCGTGGGTCAAATCTGGACCAGCAGATGCTTTTGAACAGACCCTGAAATATTTTTATTTACTTATTATCATTATTATTATTTTGTTTGTTATTTTCTCTTGAGTCTGGACCTTGACTATACCTTGATCAAGAAATTTGGACCTTGACAAAAAAATAATTGACTACCTCTTCCCTAAAAGATTAGCCAATTAACGTTCCTAGGTTTTTACTTGGTGCCCATCACCACAGTATCAGAGCACCTCCCAACATCACCAAGTGCAGGCGTCAAGATAAAGTTCTCTCTTCCCACCAGTCAGCAGGCTGGACTTTATTATTGGTAGGGCAGTTAGAAAACACATTTTCACAGTAAGAGCATCACATTTTATGCAGTATTTGCAGACTCTAGAGTCCAGTTTTACCATCACTTTTTGCAGTACAGTTGCTGTTAAACACCTGCATAAGCATGATTTAGACCAGGGGTAGGCAACCTATGGCACGCGTGCCAAAGGCGGCACGCGAGCTGATTTTCAATGGCACTCACACTGCCTGGGTCCTGGCCACCGGTCCGGGGGGCTCTGCATTTTAATTTAATTTTAAATGAAGCTTCTTAAACATTTTTAAAACTTTGTTTACTTTACATACAACAATAGTTTAGTTATATATTATAGACTTATGGAAAGAGACCTTCTAAAAACATTGAAATGTATTACTGACACGAAAAAACCTTAAATCAGAGTGAATAAATAAAGACTCGGCACACCACTTCTGAAAGGTTGCTGACCACTGATTTATACTGTGGCTTTTTCTAATCTTGTGATGTATTTTGGCAGCTCAGCCCAGTATCTGGAAAATCCGCACAATATTTTTGTGAAAATTAAATTTCTCATGTTGTTTTCAAATAGTTAATACACCATTTAGTGACCCAGTGCACCCCACGGTACTTAGTGCCTGGTGAGTCATTAGTGACTGGTGAGTCATGCATATGTCTGCACTTCTCTGAGGCTGGAGTTGTGCATCAGCACCATTGTTATCACACACTATTCAGCTATTATTACCTAAATGTAATAAATCTTCATGTAACTCAGAGCTGCAGGTGTTTTTCTGTCTGTAAAGCCTCAGGGAACAGAGAAAATTAACCAGATATTCTGTGAACATTAGTTGTACAGCTGAACTGTACAACACTAACACTTTCTTATTTACTGTCTGTCTCCTTAGGATGTAAAGGACACACTGATCAGGTGAGATTCCATCTTCAATTTACCATCCATTTCTATCAAGCCCATTGCAATGGTACCTGTGCTGAGCATCTGTGTTCTCCTTAGGAGTGAGCAGGTGAGGCTGCAGAAACCAGAGCTCAGTGCTGTTGAACTGAAGGATGCGTACGGAGTCCCTGGCATGATGGAAATGCTGCGGGAATTCACAGGTAAGTTAACACTAATGTAGCAGGGGCTCTCTAGCTTTTCCTATCTGCAACCTGAAAAGCACCCATGATTTTCCATTCCTAAATCCATGTGCCAGATTCCTCTGGGCTCTTCCAGCCAAAGGTAGTAAAAGTGCTATGATGTTGGTAATCCATCGATCTGATGATGACAAATCTGTGCAGATCATCTGTTTGTTGGTCTTATGGTGCCCTCTGATGGCTATACAAGCCAATTCTAGAGGAGCACATTTTGCTGCAGATGGTGCATGGGAAGTTCGCGGTCAGTGGATTGTGCATTGAAGCCATTGCCCGGTGTGTGGCCGCTGCGCATGCTGCAGCTACTTGGAGCCACAGGTGAGAGCTGAGTGACAGGTGGGGACCAAAGTGGACGGACTACCCCAAAGGGGTATGACAAGTCCCCCCATCAGAGGTACTACCCCTCCCTGACCACCTCATACACCCCAAAAGTGCTATGATACATAGAGACCAATATGTTAATACTGGGCCCCCTGCAGAAATGGGACACTTACATTCAGGGACTCTGCCTCTAATAATTTAACATTGAAAAAGTCTGTGAAGTAAAGATACTAGCTCCTGCAGTGGCGTTGGAATTATTTGTATAGTGGGAGTTCTGGGAGCCATTGAACCAAACTGTAAACCCAGTATATGATGGAAACTACTTCAAGCCAGGGCTTCCTTCCGCACCCCAGCACCTCTGCATTGCTGGTGAAAATCCCATCACTGCTCAGTCCCCAGGGGCTGTGAACTGTTAGCATTACATGTCATTTAGAAAGGGAACAGCACTTGGTTCTTATATGAAGTTATTCAGCCGCAGCTTGCAAAGTGCTTTACAAAGGAGGAAGTTTTCATTGTCCCAGCGTTCCAGAGGGGGAACTGAGGCACAGACACATGCCCAAGGTGAGACCAGAGCCAGGAACAGAATTAAGATCTCCTGGTTTGTTGCCCTAGGCACTGGCCAGTACTGCCTTCTATAGAAGCAGTAAGGGTTGCTGTATTCAGCACTGACAAGACATCTCATAGTGACCAACACATGCCACATAGGCACCGACTTCTGCTCCCAGGTGCTCAACCCCCCTCTGCCCCTGGCCTTGCCCCGACTCCACCCCTTCCATGAGGCCCTGCCCATGCCCCACCCCCACCCCAACTCCGCCCCCTCCCTGCCCCTATTCCTACTCCTTCCCCAAATTCCTCCCCAGCCCCTCCTCTTCCCCGCCTCCTCCCTGCCTCCTCCCCCTCCCTCCCGGAGCTTCCTACACCACCAAACAACTGTTTGGAAGGCGGCCAGGTGGGAAGTGCTGGGAGGTAGGCGGAGGAACGGGGACACGGCATGCTGAGGGGGGAAGGGGAGGGGAGCTTGGCTGCCGGTGGGTGCAGATCACCCACTAATTTTTTTCCATGGATGCTCTAGCCTCGGAGCACCAACAGAGTCGGTGCCTATGGCATGCCATATAAGTGGTTGTCAGGGACGTGGGAGAAGGAATGGATGGGGGCATTGTTCCAGGCCTGGCACTCCCAGCAAGAATGAACAATGGCTTGTTGCAACTGCCTGCAGTACTGGAGGAAACAGGCTGCTCAGACTCCTGCCTGCAGCACCAGCTAGCTGCTGCTGTGCCTCTTTCCTGGCAGTCCCTGCAGTGCTCACCCCTGGAGACAGGATGTGAGAGACCAGTGCCAGGTAGCCTGAGCCAAGGGCCAACTCTGCCTGTCCCCTCTCCTTTCCCCTGGATCGAAGAGAACCCCAGATTCCACAGAGAAGTCCGGGGAGGAGACACCCCAGCTAAATGGTCCAGCTCTGAGACTTTTCACTAGAGCTGGTCAAAAATGCTAAGCCCCTTCTTCCAGCACCAGTGTCCTGTTCTGCCATGAGTTTCGTCCCTCTGCCAAGTGATAGCAGATGGCAGGGCCTTGCAGGTTGGCTTCCCAGTGGATGAGAAATCAGTGATGTGGAGCCTAGTCTATTCTGAGTGTAACTTGCTTTTTTTACACACTTACCCCAGCCCTGGAACAGAGGTGGTCACATATTCCGTGCAGGGCAATCCCTTCTGCCAGGATTCTCAGCCCAACACCAGTGCCCCATTCCCAAGGAGTAACTCTCTCTCCAGAACTGACTCTAATCAGAGCCCCAGGCAGAGAGCAACCTCTCCTGCTGCTCTCTCAGCTCCCTCTCTCCCCACACTGCCACTGCACCTTGCATAACCCAAAACTAACACAATCCTGCATGTCTTCCCAAGACTCAAAACTTGCTCACACGCAAAAAAAAAAAGAAACTGAAGACTGAGTGTAGTAGCACCACCTTGTAATGCCTGCCAGAACAATATTTTTTGCAAAATAATTTAGAAAATATTCATTTTTACCAGATTTTTTTTTTTTTTTGCAGTGAATCAAAAACCTGAAAAAAGTTGCTCAGGTTTTCACTGAAAACTGTAGAAAGAAGGAAACAAACAAAAAGACTTTTTTTTTTAACCAATTCTTCTTTTTCCTTCCCCTTCATCCATGTAAATGAGGAGGGATGGAGGAAGACGTGTTATTGTTGCTGGGGAAAGCCTGAGATCAGAGTTAAGGATTTGCATTGCAGTGCAGTGGTGGGGAATGTGGTACTGCACATGCTGGAGCTGTGAAAGTGGTGACCGGGATGTAGACGTTAAGGTTTGTTTCCCTTCAGATCCCTTCACTGGGGCACTTCCTTGTGTTCAGGGGATCGGGTGGTTTGATGCTCCCCTTCAGCAGATGTAACCATTCTGGCTGAGGTTTCTCTTTGTGGGAAGTGCCTTGATTCTATGCATGAAAGTGGTAATGTGGAAGCCTTAATAATGTTATTCTCTTGGGATACTGCTAAGGAGAAGTCACGGCTGCTGCCTCAGAGTGGGGCCTTCTGCTCCCCATCCCATCCATCACATCAGGCTGCCCATCACTGAGGGGGCATTAAAAGTGGTACCTGAAGTGGTGCTGCCCACCACGATCAGCTATTTGGCTGGCGGCATGCAGGAGGCGCTGGGTGCAGGGGGAGGAGCAGGGGCAGGAAGAGGCAGGGGGACTTGGAGGAAAGGATGGAGTGGGGGCGGGCCCTGGGGTGGAGTGGTGGTCGAGCACCCCCGAGGAACAGAGGAAGTCAGTGCCTATTGCCCTTGGGTCTGGGCATGGCTGAACACTGAGCCTGTCAGGATCCTAAGCCTCTCTCCTTGGTTCTTCATTTAGGGAAGGGCCAGCCTCTTGTCACCCCCTAGTATCACATCCTGGGCAGCCCCTGCCCTCCAGCAGCTTCCCCCTGGGCAGGGTCCCAGGCCCTGAGAGACTCGCTGGCTGCTCCAGGCTGGCCAGGTCCAGGGTCTCCAGCAGGGCCATTGGTGCTGGTACCGCGCTCGCTGCCAGAGCTCCCGACCCTGACCCAGCCCGGCCTGTTGTCCCAACGCTGACCCCTCCCCTGTGGGTGGGGACCCTGCTGCTCTGAATGGCTGAGCCCCTCTCTCTGCCGCGGCCTCTGCTGCTGCACTCGCAGGCTCAGCCCGTGCCAGGGCCAATGAGGCGCTGCTGGGGCTGCTCCTTCCCTTGGTACCTGGATTCTCTGTGTCTGGGGAAAATGGCGGGTGAGTGGGCAGGGACCTGCTCAGAGACACACGCCCTGTGCTGCACCCAGAGAGCAGAGACCAGCCAGGGCTGGGCAGCGAAGTGCCACTGTGGTGGGATTAACCCTTTCCTTCCACCCACCCCACCAGCCCCAGAGTGGGGTCAAAATTAAATTTGCATGCTCCTGCCTGCAGGCTTCTGTCCTGCTGCAGCTGCTGCTGCTGTAATTGTCATCTCTGGCAGCTCCTCTCCCTTAGGGAAGCAGCTCTCTCTAAGAGCACCCATTCCAGGCTCCTTGCTCTGGTGAGCTCTCCTGGGAGCTCCTTTCCTGACACACTTCATCTTTCTAGGATCCCCTTCAGCTAGTAACCCTTTATATCAGGCTCATTAGATAGTTAGCTGCCAAGCACCCATCTAGGGATTTAATTACTTCCAGGTGGGTCTGGGTTGGCTGGTTCTCCCTTACAGGAGCTTGTCACAGATAGTCTGGTCCCTGACTCCCCTTAAAGGGCCAGCCCCCATGACATCTCCCTCCCCCCCACACACACACACCCCAAGCCGAACTGTACCCAAAGGCAAGCTTGACCATGACTAAGACTTGGTTATGTTCTTCACCCAGGGGGTACTTCCTGCCCTGCTACCACAAGGAAATCTGCAAGACCTATGGCCATATGTAGCTCCTGCAGTGGACAAACTCCCCCATAGTCTTCAGCGTGGTGTAGTCCAGAATTTTACTCTTTGTAAGACACGCCTGTGATGGGTTGGATCACAGAAACCCCCTGGGAGCTACCACCTGCTGTGCCAAGACTACTTCTGCCCCTACTTTCCCTGCCAGCTCAGGACCCCAGCACCCTGTCTTGCTGAGCCAGACATGCCTGTCTGCTCCAACACAGACCCAGGGTCTGAATTACTTGCCCCAAAGCTGCCTTGACTGAAAGCAGCTTACAGAAGTGTTCTTATCTATAACACTCAGATGCCCAACTCCCAATGGGGTCTAAACCCAAATAAATCTGTTTTACCCTGTATAACACTTATACAGGGTAAACTCATAAATTGTTCTCCCTCTATAATACTGATAGAGAGATATGCACAGCTATTTGGGCCCCCCTCCTGATATTAATACATACTCTGGGTTAATTAATAAGTAAAAAGTGATTTTATTAAATACAGAAGTAGGATTTAAGTGATTCCAAGTAGTAACAGACAGAACAAAGTGAATTACCAAGCAAAATAAAATAAACCACGCAAGTCTATGTCTAAGAAAACTGAATACAAATAACACCTCACCAGTTCCAGTAAGCTTCCTTTTACAGACTAGTCTCCTGCAAGTCTGGGTCCAGCAATCACTCACACCCCCTGTCTTTACTGTCCTTTGTTCCAGTTTCTTTCAGGTGTCCTGGGGGGTGGTGGTGGTGAAG